CCCACAAGAAGCATAGGAATACCACCATCTTCAGCAAGTCCTACTCCGAGAATGTGGTCCTAGCCTTCACCCAATTCGAGAGAGACAATTGGGAAGCTGTGGAGGTAAACGTTTTCACGGCAATCTCTCCACCGACTCTGATGCACGAAGACATTTGCGATCTTGCCATGGACAAGCGCACATCCTTCATAGTACTTCCATTTCACCGCCGCTGGTCCATTGATGGTAGTAGGATTGAATCGGATGACCAAGCCCTTCGAAGCCTGAATTGCAACATCATGAAAACAGCCCCTTGCTCTGTGGGGATCCTGGTCGAAGGTCGCCGCCATTTAAGACGCAGTAATTCCAAAGATTCAGCTGGAAGCTTATCAGTGTACAGCATTGCAGTGGTCTTCTTGGGAGGCAAGGATGATCGGGAGGCACTAACACTAGCCAAACGTTTTTCGCAGGACGCAAGAGTTAGCCTGACTGTTATTCATCTCAAGGCACAGGGCAACCTAGCTAGTGTACTAGCTTCGGTTGACACAATGCTTAATGAAGCGGTATTGGAAGATGTTAAGGATAACGAATATGTTAGTTACATAGAGAAGGAAGTGAGGGATGGACCTGAAACCTCCCTGTTTCTTCGTTCCATGGTGAATGAACATCATCTCATCATTCTTGGGAGACAATGTGATGTTGAAAATCCACAGACCGAAGGGCTAAAAGAATGGAGTGAGTTCCAAGAACTAGGGATGATTGGGGACTTGCTTGCGTCTACTGATTTTACTGGTGCCTATTCCCTGTTAGTTGTGCAACAACAGCAACAGAAAATCCGTTGAGCATTTTTCTTTTAAAGTTCATTTGATTATTCTGTCCTCTCAGGAGCTGATTTATAAGTATTACTATGAGTTTGGATTCTGGAAAACTGCTTTTACATGTGGGTTTTTAGACATTGATATTTAAGGGAAGATCAACCTCTGAACTTGTGGAGTGGTTAAAAATAATCTCCTCTACAGAAGAAAAGATTAAAAAAAATTGGTGTTCCAAAAAGGTGGAAAAAAGCCTGATTGTTTGCATATTAGAAATGTGAGACATCGCATAATGATAACATTGGAGAGTGGGTGTACAGAAATTTGAGAAGAGGAATGTTATTTTTATTACATACCTTATTAATAGATGTATAAAAAGATTTACATCTCAGAAATTTACTTACCCTTATAATATATGAAATATATAAGAATAATAATAAATGAGACTAAATTTTAAAATTAATAATATAGTACAAGTTAAGTAATTTAAAATATTAAAATGTAAATTTTATATTATTTAATGATTATTTTTTTTATTTTTATAAAATCTATAGTATGTTATGTATCAATTAATTTAATGACATAATATAAATTACGACAATAATCATAAATTTTTGTGCTCTTTATCACTACTCAATATGTAATGGTGATAATGGCTATAGTTATAGTTAGCATTAATCTTATTAAGATTATTAAAATTATAAAATTTTTATCTTAATTTGATTATTAAAATTAATTAATAATTATTTAACTGATAAAAATAATTAATAAACTTTATTTAACAAAATAAAATTAATTTACAAAAAATATTTTTAAATATTATAATAATAATTTCAAAATATAAATTAATAAAATTATAAATAATTTATCTAAAATGTGCCTTTAAGAATTCCTAATTATAAATAAAATTAGTGGTCCTAACAAACAAACAAGATATGATAAAATAGCCATAAACCTCGACGGTGATGATATTGTTGGACTTTTCTTGCCAATTAAATGCAACCGCGTGTAATTATACCCTTTTGGAGAGAAGTTTTGGCCCATTAAATGCGACAGCCTGTAACCATTCCCGGGAGGCACATTTTGCCTTATTAATTGCAACAGCATGTAGATTAACTTTCCTTCCTGGGGTTGAGGTTGGTTGAGGTTGTTGTCACAAACAATGCAACTGGTTAAGTACTCCTGTCAATTTTTCTTTTTGTTTATAATTTTTTTAAATAATTAATTATGATATTTAAAATTATTTATTTATAAATTAATTTTAATATATTAAATAATAAATTTTAATTATTTTATTAATTATTGTTATTTTTAACCGTGAAATTAAAAAAAAAAAAAATTTAACAATAGTTAGTGGCCTTAGTAAATTAAATGATGGCTATAACTATAGGCCTTCCTTGACAATTTCCTTTTTGTCTTTTCTTGTTCAACTAACAATATAACTAATAATATAAATAATTTAATAGTAATTTTTTTATAATAAAATAAAAAAATTTCTGTTTGAATTATATAATAGATAGATGAATATGTTAAAATATAAAAATTTTTTGTAAGTTTTGTGATAATTATCTTTAATTTTACCGTCTAATATTTAAAAAAGGAAAATGATGGCCTAATGGGAACATGAACTCTGCCGTGGCTTGCATTTCAAATTCAATTTAAGTTCTCAACGTTACATTTGTTCTGCAAGCTGAAAGCCATTGAATATAAATCAATTTCCCACAATTTAATTTTCCTTTCTTTCTTCTCTTATTTGACCTTTATTATTTTTCTGCAAAACAATACTTCCTCCAGTCCATTTTTTGTCAACAGTTTGCCCCCAATTTCAAATGATGTTTTTATATAGCACATGATAATTATTTTTTTATCAAATGATTACAGGAAGAAAAGATCATTTGTAAGATTTAAAATCTAAATCTCCCATTTAATACAATAAGCATATCTATCTGCTAGACAACAAAACTGCTGTGTTCTACTCTTCAAGCCCTTATTTCATTCTTACATGGATGGTATTTGATGCAGTTTAAAAATCAAAATTTTTTTTCTCATACATTTAAAAATTATGAAGAAATTTAAAATTTAATTTTTAAAATAACTTTAAAGTAAAATTTAAAAAATAATATACAATAAAAGGCACGAGTAGCTGTTGCTGTCCCTTCACCTACCTCCAAAACTAGAAAAGGGAAGAAATTGATTATAAAGTACGCACCTGCTAGACAAGGCCCATGATTTTTTCGGCCTAACAAAGCCAATGATTTTGGTTCTTTAGATTTCAGGTTGCATTAAACGTCTAAGGAAAATTTCCAAGATTACAGGGACGTAATTAACCTTTAGAGCTCACAAGATCTTAGTGACGAATGCTAATCACAACCTGAAATGGTATCGAATTTCATAATCTAATGATTTTCCACAACAAGCATGACAGAATTAGAAACAATGAAAACAATTATGGAAGAATAATGAATTTACCCACGCAAGGTGTAACAGCAAGCAAACAAGTTGCATGAAAGAATAGTAAATTATGTGCTTAGTTCTCTCGTGCTTTTCTTTTTGTTTTTCAAACTACAAGATCACCCAATTTTGCCTTTACAACGGAGGAATTGAAGAGGGCTTTCCTGGACAAAGAATCCTAGAGTGAAATAAAAATAAATATGCAAATAAACGAAGCTAGAAATTGGGTGTAAAGGATGAGTGAACAACCTTATTTTGTCTACCAACTAGCCAGAGAAGAGTTCTCCTTGCAAAAGACGGTGTTTTAGGTTGTGCATCCAGACTGTTGTAGCTCTGAGCTTCCTCATCGAAACCTATTTCACTAACTCCATTTTCTGAGATGCCAAATTCTATCTCAGAAATGGTACTCCTGGAATAATCAATCGTATTCTTCATCTTCATGCCATCATCACCAGCAGTAGCTGGAACATCTCCATGAGCAGGAAACCGTGATGAAAAAGCCCTCCTTGACAAATCGTCCGACAATCTGTCCTTCCCCTTCCTACCACGAAGCCAAATTTTTGATATTGAGAAGCTTTCCTTTTTGATCTTTCCCATGGCCTTCCCATTGTGATCTCCTGTACTAGTATTGCCATTTGTTTTGACATTTCTAAAGGCTTCAAGGCCATTGAATTCTCTTCTTGATTCACAATCACATTCAGACATTGCTAACCTGTGACCAGGTGTCAATGGCAAGGAAGGCTTCTTGTTTGATTGTTTCTTCATCAGGGTTCTTATCGGTACTTGCAACAAAGAATTCTCATCCATTACATACTCAAAGGAACCCATAGAGTAACACCGTCTATCATCCACACTATTGTTACTGCTACCTTCACCACCATCAACATTCCTAAACTTCCCTAGCTTAACAGGCACAACCTTTTCCCCTGAATCAACCACAACTGCAGTACTAACATCATCTTTTGCACCAAGTTCACATGATTGACGAGCAGAGTTGATGCGCGCTGATGATCCCAATTCACTGTCACTGTCAAAACCCAGATGGGAATTTGTCCTCATAACTGAATTGGTCCTACCAAGACCATTTTCTCTATCTGTAGGAAGCTCTCTTGAGCTCTCACTTCCAGAATCAAGAACAAGAACCACGGGTGAGCAGCTATTATTTGGAGAGAAATCAGGGAGCAAACAAGCTCTACACAAGGGGCAGGTAGAGTGAGACAAAAGCCAAGTATCTATGCACTCCATGTGAAAAGCATGGCTACATTTTGGGAGTAATCTAAGCTTATCTTCAGTCTCAAATTCACACAAACAGACTGCACAATCAAGTGGGTTCTTCAATCCTATAATGGCTTTGTATTGAAAAACAGGGAGGGTATCTATGAAGGACTGGTCAACACCAGAATCATGGAGATGGAATAGTTGCTGCAACCGTCCTTGCAGAGCAGTAACATTATCGAAATCTTCTGGTTCTCTAGAAGGTCTCATAAAAAATCTAACCAAAAGATGAAGCAATCCAGAAACAAAGAAAATGATGGCTAGAATTATAATGGCGAGCAATAGACTTGGACTAACCTTCTCATTCAAATTGAAACCACCGGATTGAAGAATCTGCGGCGGTGGCTGAGTGAACAAGTGTGGCTGCTCCGATGGAGAAAGCAAGCTTCTTCCTTTCATTTCAAGGAAAACCCAGTTCATGATTTCTGGAGAGAACTGGTAAAATCTCACCAAGATTCCAACTTTATGCTTGGATCACAAGACTGGAAAAACCCATCTGGTTATACCAGAAAAAATAATTCAAGACTAAACAGGAACGGAAACCCAAGAAAGTTCTTTCTAGGCTAAGTTTGAAGTGGTTTTGTAGGATATAAACAGAGGCAGACCCCTTATGGAGACACCATGGTTAACCTCAAGTTCCTTTCTACTGCAATTGAAGATACAAATCATCAAATTAAAGATATAAGACAGCATGGATATTTTTTCTCCTTCTGTTTGATTGTGCATTTAAATTGCGGGTATAACTGTAGCTAGAAAGGAAAGATTCCAAAATAAAAGTAAACATAAAAAAAAAAATAAATCCACCACCCCAACAGTGGAGAAAATAATGAGATTTGATTTTGATACCTTTACCTAAATCTACTTGCTGCTCTACTAAAAATGGACTACTTACTGTATCAAAAAAATAAAATAAAAGCTACTTACCGCAGATTAAATTACTCCCTCTGCCCCTATTTAGAGCTGGTTGGTGATATGGTTAAGTTTATTAGATGAATTTTTATTATGAAAATAGTTTAAAAAGTATTATATAAAAAATTTAAAAATAATA